ACAGCTGTTATAACAGACACATTATTTCCATTTGTAGACATTTGTGGCGTTTTGAGAGGAGCAGACGTTTGTTCCATGAATGAATTTAATTTCATAAACCATCTGGAAAGGGCTTAAAATGTGAGATTTCACCCATAAATCCATTGATTTGGTCCCCATTTTACTCAAATTCAGATCCTAGTAGTTGCATATATAACTAGAACCCCACCTGATGTGTACTTCCAGGCGACCTCGCTTTTTATGTCAGCGAGAGTAACTTGATATGAAATGGTCTCTAAGGTCTTAGGGCCACCTCACTCTTGGCTAAATTCACTTAACTTCCTTTTTACAACTACTTGACAAGTCAGTGTTTCTGTGTTGTATAACATCTTTCACTGAAACATATAACATAAGTGAAAGGTACCTCCCCAACCCTTAAAAACACATAGTTAGCAACATTTTCCTTAATATGTAATAGTAGAATTTCCTTTAAAGCAACTCTTCAACTTTCCTGGCCTGTAAGAGATCCAGTAATGAGGAAATTTGAATGAAGTGTCTCATGAGGGCATATTATACCGCCACTAACAGTGTGTCAAATATATGAAACAAAATGATGAGGAAACATTCAATTACTGAGCAAACTGGAAGTCTTATCTTTCAATTATTTTCTCTCTCAAGCTGGTAAACCTTCTCACATTCACCAACTGGTTTGTGACATCCGCACACTTGCGATTTGGAGTAGACATTTATGGTTTTTGTTATAATTAGTACTGCACTCTCCTGGGTGGCTGTAGACTCTTGCTCAGAGAAGTATATGATACCTAAATGGTAAATGGAGTGTACTTATATAGTGCCTTTCTAGTCTTTGACTAATCAAAGCGCTTACCACTTTCTGTCACAGTCACCCACGTACACTGATGACAGAGGCTGCCAGGCAAGGTGCCAACTGCTCATCAGAAACTAACTAATCCCATTTACATTGGGGTTGAGTATCTTGCCCAAGTACACTACGATATGCAAAGGGCCGAGCCGGGGATTGGATCGCCAACCTTCTGATTAGTGGATTAGTGATCAGTTGTCTTTCTGCAGAAGAACTGCTTTCTTATTGAAGCCAAAAATATACTTTTATGTCAATGTAGCTGCAAATTTCCTTGTAATGTGGATTTCATCGGATGATGGTGTCCATGCCTCCAAGTAAACCCACTGCACAGAGACATAAAGACATCCAGTTTGCTTGTTCAACTAAATATGACAAAGGAACTCTTCTACTTGTTCAAATGGTAGGTGTAGAACATCTCCCAAAGCAACGACCCACAATGTAGTACAGAATTTTGTCTACATCCAGAACTCCACATATCAGTCTGCTGTTGTCAGCATCAGTGTCCAGGATGTACCTAGGCAAACCAAAGGATCATAGGTTTATCTCTGCACTCAAACTGATGTGTTAGGACCTAAAACCCTGCCCTGCTGTCAGTACAAAGTGACTTAACCTGATACCAGTGACAAAAGTCCAACAATGAAGTAAAGAACGTGGACTGGGAGCGGTATCCTTCTCTCTGCTTCTTACTAGGAATGCACCAATCCCACTTTTTAGCTGCTGTTCTTTAGCAAGCTGTGTCAGTTGGTTGGTTGGTTGGTTGGTGCACACAGTTGGCGGCCACAGTTTTCACCCTAGGAGGCTGAAATTTGGCATGGACATCAAGTGTGTAAATGCAATGGACACATTCGCAAAGGTGACCGCAGCTATTGCAAATTCACACTAGTACTCTCTTTTTCACAAATTTAAGATATGTAATTTAAGTAATGTAATAACCAGAGATTGCTATGTGGAGTCTGCAACCCACCATGACTGAGTCAATATAACGATACCTGATCCCCTTATTATGGTCAGTATCGGCCCCAATGCCAATCCATCAATTTGAATTAGTGCACCATTACTTCTTACCAGAATTTAAATAAAATCTCGTCTGTGGTGGAAACTTCCAGCACTGCTTCCCCTCCTCCTAGTGTGTTTGTTAAAATGTCTACAGTATAAGCAAAGTTGTTGACTACCCAGAGCTCCCTTTGTAGCAGCGCAGTTTAACAGCATGTGAAACCAGCTAAGAAATCTAATAAAAGTGGATTACAACTGAAGCCCGTTTTGGGGCTGACATGAGTGAACGTGGTGGGAGTGTCTGCAGTGTGTGTGTCTGTGGGTGGTTGGATTAATAGACGAGGATTTAGATTGGATGTAATGATGCGAAGCAGAAAGCAATGGAGGAACTCATACCCACCACCCCCCGCTGTCTCAACTGTTAATATTTGGAAAAGGGAGAGAGATGATGGGGTACGGGTGTAAAATAACACGCACTAAGTTTATACACATGCTCTCCATGTCTATATATTTGCGCACACACGCACTCAGTGTCACAAACCAGCCTAGGTAGCAGGAACAGAATTACTGATGGTGGTATATTGTCTCATTTTCTCACATTTTCTCCAAATAAATGATCATTAATCGCTTACCTCATCTCTTGCCATTATAGCTCAGCCTCACATTACCCTCTGACCATGGAGCCTTGATCTTGTGACTCAGAAAATTAAACTTCCTGTCAGTTTAGAGGATCAGAGCTGTGCTTTTGTAACACAAACAAAACCCTCTTCCTCCCACACACACACCACACAGTCTGCAGGGGTCCCCGGTAACTGTCATGTCACAGAGCCTCTGTTGCTGATATTAGCCGACATCTGACCTTTAATGAACACGAGAGCCCCACTGTTGCGGGAGGTAAGCGAGGCTGTCTGACAGCGGTGTGGTCTAATGAGAGGGGCCCTCTCAGCAGAGCCAGTGTCAGTCCTCCACAATAACCATACAAAACCTCATTAGCATCATGCTAATAAGCCGCTCAGCAGAGGATGTCACAGAGAAGCCAAAGTGGAGTAGAAAGAGGGATGGCATGTTTACAGTTACAGCAAAGAATTCTTTAGCCACTTAGGAATGTGTGCTTTCATTTTTTTTCTTCACTATTGTGGGCCCATCTTGAATCCATTTGAGTGTCTTGTTTGCAGCCACAAGAAAAATTCATTCCATTCACACCTTGTATTACAATGTGTCTCCAGTGTACCCATCTAAAATTGATATATGTTTATTCACCATAGCTACAGATGGCTTAGGGCTCTGTTTTGAACCTCAGTACCCTTTTGGTACTGACTGAAGAGTGTCCATAGCACAGACTATTGAAAAATGTCAAGTACTAAAAGCTGGAATCGAGCGCTTGCTCAGACTCCTCATTTGCAATGACTTCTTTATTGGAAGGTTATATTCGGTCCTGTAATTATGCCGTTAATTGAGACACAGCATATTTTTTCTTGATTTTATGATGTGACTATATCCAGAGTGGTTTGGATCTTTAGTGCATCATGGGCCCCACTTGTACTTACATTTTATGAAATTTTGATTTAAAAAAAAAAAAAAACATTTTTTGCCTCACTTCGCTTTCTTTTCCCAAAGGCATCACCGTCTTATCTCCTCTTCTTTGCTCTTCCTAACCATCTTTACCTATCTCCTCCCTCTGTATCTCTATTCATGTCTCCTCCATCTCTTTATCCCTATTTTCCCAATTGCTCTGAATCCCTCATCAACACTGTACTGCTTTGTTCTTTAACATTGGAGGGCCTTCACATCTCCTAGCAGCTCCTCTCAGTCCTTTGTGAATGTCTTCAGCTCGGGGGGGAGTTTGGCTGCACATTGCATGCAGTCTGTATGGAGAGCAAGCCCTTGTTAATTGCATTGTGGTATTCTCCAGGGGACGTGGCTGTGCTGAACAAGCAGTGCAGCAAATGATTCACTTTCTTTTTATGTTTTCTTTTTTTAACTGGGGACTGTATTGCTTTCATATACCAGATAAACAACTGGTCTTTTATTTTTTCATTCATTATTAATCACTATTTATTGACTACATCTTGAGAGCTCCCTTTGTGCTATTAGCTAGAGAACATCCATTTGAGATTTGATTCAGATACGTACATGACCAGTCAGCAAATATTTCGATGATGACGCCTCTACAAGCTCCTGGACAACTCTTAGAACTAGATCTTTTTCTTTCCTTGCTTTCATTCAGAAACTTTCTGATTTTGGTGCTTTTGATTCCCAGAAGCCACCATGTCTTTTTAATTGGAAAATTGAAAGCAGAGACCGATGGCAGACCATAGAGTTACAGTCATACAATCAGGTGTGGGAATGGTTCGTGTCTGTCTTAAAGGAAAATTAGCTATTTTTCAACCTGGTCTTATTCTGCGGTAGGGCTGCAACTTACTTTAATTCTCATTATCAATGAATTTTTCAATCATTTTCCTGATTAATTGATCAGTTGTTCGGTCTATAAATTGTCAGAAAATAGTGAAAAATGTTAATCCCTGTTTCCCAAAGCCCAAGGTGACATCCTAATATGTCATGTTTCATCCACAACCCAAAGATATTCCGTTTACTTTCATAGAGGACTACAGAGACTAGAAAATATTCACATTTAAGAAGCTGAAATGAGAGAATTTGGACAATTTTTCTCAAAAAATGGCTCTCACCAGGTACAGCTCTAGACTCCAGCAAAACATCATATTGGGGTAAGCAGCACAAGCCTCCTAAAGCTTTCCCAATAAACTCTGATTATACATACATCAGTTCAAATGCTGGCTTAACAATTGTAGCTAACTACATAGGAATCTGTTTCTGTCTAGTTTTTTGGTTAGCCAGCTAGCAAACGATCAGCTCATTAGTTTATTCATAAAAGACGTACCCAGTTTTCTGGTTTGTTGTCCGTTTTAGGGGTCAACCACAAACAGTGTTTACTATTGGTTGAGGCTGCAACTTCGCCAGACAAAGTTCCCCAATGTTGAACTCCATGCAAAGCTGAGATGCGAACTTGCTTCTCCACCAGAACATTTGTTTAGCTCAATAGAATGGAGGTGAACAGGAACAACATTTTGCAGATGTCGATTTGGGATTAAAGGTTTACTTTCTAAATCATCCTTTGTTATCTCTGTAGGGGCCACAAACGCAAGCTTGATGAAGCCAAGGAGGAGGAGGAGGACGAGAAGAAAGAGGAGGCGGAAGAATCTGCTGACGAGTCTTCTAAAGACTCCAACGAGGAAGAAGGCGGCAGCAGCTCAGAGGCGGATGAGATGGCCGCAGCCCTCGAGGCAGAGCTCAATGACTTTATGTGACGTGGAAGATGAAGGGACTTAGTCACAGGAAAAGGACACAAAAAAAGATCTGCCCTGGTCGCCCCTACAAGTGGTACCTAAAAATCCTATTTTTTTGCTTCGGAATCAGTGTGTACTTAGGATGTATGAGCCATGAGTGTGTGCTGTAATGAAAATGAATGTCCTGTACAGAAATGACTTGCTGTGTAAATAAAGGCTTAGATTTTTTTGTAGCATTGATATATGGCCTTTTTGGCATAAAACTCTTTGATGTTAACATTTTATTGTAAGATATCAGACCATAGGAGACATGAAATTTGATACTTTTTTTGTTTTACTTTTTTCTATTTCAATTTTTATATTGATGAGAAAAAGATAAATGAAATTATAAACCATACATTTTGCTGGTCGTACATGCCAAAGAGTTTGGAATAGGTTTGCCAAGGCCTGCAGCTAAATATTTTACTCTGGACTTCCAGTTTTACTTTTCTTTTGGCCTCAACAGTTTTTTAGGGTCATAAATGCAACCAGCGGATCTAGACGTTTGAATGTGTTTACTTGAGTCATTTCTTCCTCCTCATGATGTTTGTACTTTTGATAACATAATAGTAAAGTAAGCCTCTCAGTCTTTGTGATAACCAGCCTCTTGGTGCACTATCACCGTGAACTGAATCCCACTGAACTCCCAGTTTATGTTGGTTTCCATGTGAATTATTCAAGTGTTCGCTCACCTTTCCCATTTCAACCCACCTCTACAATTGATATTGTTCAGTTCAGGACAGACACTCACACTCGGCCTCTGCTTGTTTACACTGGAGTTTATACCTTGTGAAGTCCTGTTGCCTCAAAGGGTAGGTTCACTCAGAGTACCAAAAAAAAAAAAATCCTTTAGTGTTATGTAACTATGCAGATATATGCCCGGGTTTTGAGGTATAAATCTCTACCTCTACCCTAGTACAAGGCCCCAGGGCATTCATATGGTAAAAAAAAAAAATTAAATATATATATATATCGATATGGAAATCTGTGGAACCGAAACTAAACTAAGCAAACGTTTTGGGGATTTATTTTTGAGAAATTTTTTCAATCATTTTTTTTTCCCAGCCTTGATTCTTCCTGAGAAATACATTTAAATAATACTAAAGTGGTGTCCCAATTACTTTGTGCTGACAAACATAATCGCTACCCAGATAATGTTCATGTGTTTTTGAGTAAATCAAGCACTCCATTTATCTTTTACACATCCGGAGTCCAGTCCGTGGTTAGGGTTTAGGCAACAATAACACTTAAGACAGTGGTTTCAGTTCAATGTTAATGAATGGACTGTGTCTCGTGTTTCAAGCCATTTTGCAGGCTTTTTTTTTGGGGGGGGGGGATTGTTGGGGCTTAAAATGCTTGATTTCAAGGCAGTGTAAACAGAAAAGCAGCATTCATATATTTATGGTAGCCGGATGATGTTGCATCAATGCAAACGCCAGATTCAGCATTTTTGTCAGGGCCTTCTGTGTAAGGATTTCCAGGCAAATATTTTTTCTATGACCTGACCTCCAGTGGTCTCCGTATGAATCTGTTAGTGGTGCTCACAGCATTAAAAAGCTCTATTTAAAAGTGTCAATAGTGAAAACCTTTGACAGTGAGTTAACAAGGGTAGTGCAGAGTAACAAGGACATTGGTTCTGGAGACTTTGGATTGCTTTTAAAAATCTTTTTAATAATGGGAACACCAGGAAGAAGCTTCCCTTCTGTTGTATTGGGACAGAAATATCTCCATGTTAGATACCAGAGATAAAATATGTTTTGGTCATTTGAGAGAACAGACCCTTTAAACCTGCATGAGGCAAGATGCTTATACGCTATAAAAATTAAATATCTTTACTTTCTTTAGAGGATTCACAAGCATCTCATCCATTTAATGTTCATTGGTTGAAACCAGCCTGGGTGACATATATAACCTTGCTGCGTGCACTTTACTAACATCACACATTACAGGATTTCTGTGCATTCAATATCCAACACTTCCATCTCACTGTCTTTTGGAACCACCATCAAGCAAAGTTGCCTAGTGCTTGTACCAAGGTTGCTTACATTCAGTGCTAATGTTTGCCGTCTGTCACCCACAAGAGTTCTGCAAGTGCAAGATCTTCCTTCTCCTGTATTTAGGCTATAGAAAAAAATGACTGTCCTAAGGCAGGAGAGCAGGTGCCTGTTTGAATCTCTGCCCATTAAATGATTTACCTTCACAACTACAGTAAACACAATATCAACATGTTACAGTGACAGTCATCCTGTTTGGGTTTGTTTGTCTGTGGTGGTTTTATCATGAGTTTCAATCAAACAACTGACATGTAAAGTATTTGTAAAGTCTATTTCCTACTTGACCCTGAGACAAAAGATACTTTCATGAAATACATTTTTTTCCAAGTAACACAACTGGATCTGGCGTTCTTTCTTTGAGGATGACATGCATGAAATACTCGCTATTTTCAGTATTCCCTAATTACTAAATCGTACTCCAGATAAAGCCCATTAGCCCTTTGCCGCCTCTTCTTTGCTAGGTTTTAAACATTAGACTCATGATGTGAATGGCGCTATGAGACTCCCACCAGGACACGCTACTCAGTTAATGGGCTCTGTGTCATGAAAACCATACCAGAACCATTAGGCCTCGTTCCATCTTACCACTCGGGTTGATACATGTGTTGCAAATGTGCTGCAACCTGCAGGAAGCGCTTATTTTTTCTCCTTGTTATTACACCAAGACAAGCAGCCTCATTATTGGAGTATACAGACAGCACGAGTCATCAGTTTGCAATTTTGGATGCAGGAGGGGAAAAGAAGGAAGACTGAAAGCGTAAAAGCTTGACATTTCATTCTCAACTGTCTCTTCATTAGAAACAAATAGATTGGGTGTAACCTAAATCAAATACAACCAAAACACATCCATGATATTACTCTCATCTTGTCGTTCAGCCCAAGTAATGGTTCTTCATGTGTCATGTTGCGTACACAGGAAGGAGCGGGATAAATCACGGTCATAAAGTCTATTAAAAGCGTGACTCAAGCGGCTCTGTTATGGCGTTCCTTCCCGTACCGCCTGATGATCCGCTGCCTTAAAAGCCAAAGCAAACAGCAATAAATGGAGAGCTTTATCCTGTGATGGAGACAGGTTTTTCCTCCTCCAGTGTGAATTTGTATTACAGTCATAGCAGTCAGTAGTATTTTGATTCCACATTTGAATTTAAATAAATGTTAATTTTCCAGCTGTGTTAAGTTTATGGTCCACAAAGGTGATTCAACATAGGCTGGAGGTTCCTAAAATTGCTTATTATAAAGATATAATCTAAAAGAAAATGTGACCTTTGTTAACAACCCACAAACCTAAAATGATGTTATTTATCTGGCTTTGTGTGAGGCCAGGTGAACACATTTTTATAGTCAAACAAACATTTTATGGGCGTCATTGGAGGAAGCGCTAACTGCAGCGTGCTGGGAATAAATGCTATGACACCTGGGTAGTTTTCATGAGCAGTGGTAGCTACTCAGTGGCTGAACAGAAAACGAACAAAAGCACCACCTACAAACAACTTTCACAAACTTCCAACAGATAATCCAAAAAGGATGAGTGTTGCACGCTCTGTTTATAGAGTTGCACCGACGCAGCACCGAATAAAAAATGAGAAAAATGAAACTGAGTACAAAATAATCATAGGGAAGCAAACGGGGGTGTGGAATATGCAAATGAAGGAAAGTGAGCGACTACTCATGTCAAGGAGGAGAATGCAATTATGCTTTGATTTTTGGTTTTAATGTACAGACTCTAAAGGCTACAGCTTCCTCTCTTCTGTTACATATGAGCTACAAAGATTAACTGATCTGGTGTTACATGTTTCAACTTTTTAAAGAGGTACTGTTAACGCCCTCTAATTAGGGGAGGGCGGCCCACCTCCCCTAGCCTCCTTTTTGAGTGGGACTCATTTTCAAATGTATACAGACGCATCATTCACAGGAGTTTTTGCTAGTTTTTGCTAAACCTCTACTTAGTATTGTTCTATTCTGCTGCACTGGTACAGATTTGTGCTTTAGATGGCTGTAGACGTGCCACCAGACTGCAATCTTTACCTTGATCCCACGCACTGACAGTCCCACGCATGTGTTCCCATGCATCCTAGAAAACCTGTAAATCTAGAGAATAGTTTTCCAGTCATGGAAGAACCTGGAAATTGATTAAAATGCCCAAATATCATGGGAATAATCTATTTTATCCTGGAAGATTTCAATAGTATTTTAGTTGCTTACTCCTACATAAACCTGGGTTTAACCAAAGCGAAACCAAAGAGTTGGAGTTAAATGTGTCAATACTAGGCCTACCAGTAAATGATATGTATATATATATGACCATAAGCCAAGTGCTGTCCTGTATTCAAGAAAAAACTTCTGGAAAGGTGCTGGAAAATGATTTAAAAAGAGTGGGAACCCTGACATATCAGACAGTTAGCCGCTAGCTTAGCTACAACACAATTACCACAGAAACGTCTATAAACAGTCGTGAATGTGCTTCGAGTGACTGTAAAAGCTCCAGTGGGCTCTTTACAGCGCGGACAGCAGCTGCTCATTAGCTCTGAATATCAGACCCTGTTCCTGCTACACTGCTGTGGTCAGTCTATCAATCACTGGAGGCCACGCCCCCTAAAGTTACTGTCCTCTGCAGGTCTCTGATGCATTTTTTTCTTTTGCTGGCAGGGAGGGAGCTGGCAGAATTGAAGGGTGTAGTTACACTTTAAAGAATATACCCAATGTTAGGAATAAGGTAGCAAGACCACTCCAAACACATGGAGAAAGTATCCAATCCAATCCAACTTTATTTGTTAAGCACTTTAAAAACAACCAAAGTTGACCAAAGTGCTGTACAGGAGAATAAATAGGACATCATAAATGTAAAAAACAGCTTAATACCAACAGGCAGAAGAAAACTCAGTGTTACTTGAATCCAGGTAGCAGTCTCCTTCTTCCCTGGCTTTTCTGGTGCTTGTAGCTTCTCTTGGTGTGTTACTGCTGTTACAGGAGCGAGAGGAACAAAACAAGGGGTCACTAATAGAAAAACTGCCCCATAGAAGCTAGAGGTCAAAAAATTCACAGGTAACCTTTAACTCAATGTACAATGTACATACAAGCTTTTCAAGGAGCTTTAAACCAACCTGCATGGTCTCACAGTCCTAATTAATACACTAGAAGAGCAAAAGTGGTGCAACACAGCAAATAAGCTATGATAGTTTTTATTATTATGATGATTGCTATTACCAATGGTGTGAATTAGCATGAATTAGTTTACTAAAAATGTGAAAAAAACGGGGGTGTGGAATATGCAAATGAGCAAATGTGCTAATCCTGGACATTCAATTGTAATATGTTAATGAAGAAGTTTGTTATTTTAAATGTTGGTGTGACTATGCTTTCAAGTCTTTTCTTTTCAGTTTTTCTTTTGAAATTGCGTGCTGTATTTTGGATTAACCTGCTAATCTCTAGCTGTTTAGCAAGACCCGAAATGCAGATGAGGCTGCAGATCCTGCCCTCTCCCATCACTCTTTTCTCCAGACATCTTACGCTAAATAAGGTTGGCCAACATGAAAAATGCTTTCTTCACTGACAGCTACTCCCACTGGTACCTTCCCAAGGATACACCTTCATATCTCTGATCTTACTTCTGCTGAGCCTGATTTTCTTCTTTTGTCTTCGTCCCGAAGGTGGCGAGTCATGGATGTGATTGACATGGAGCCAATGAGAATCTTTGGTCTGACAGGCACTTGAGGTCAGATCTCTGTCCACCTGCAGTGTCCTTGTGAGAAGTTCTGCTGCAGCATTGATAGCTAAGAGATTGAGTCTGAAGAGAGGAACTAAAGGGTGGTGAATGTTGTTGTTCTCTAACACAAGGAACAGGAAGGACCCTTCAGACAAACAAAAACACAAAAAATATGTAAATTGGGATTTGCAAATGTGTTTACAGGTTGTAATTATCTATGTGTCTTTTTGTGTGACTGTGCAGTATAACAATAGCTAGTTAGTTAGTTGGTGTGTCATACATACACTGTAGTACCCAGCTCACATGGACTTACATACAACATTACAGTACATTCAAAACAAAGCGCTCTGTCTCCTGATCCAAGCTCGACAAAGGGAAAAAAAAGCTCCCTTTCTAAAAAACACAGCTCAAGTTTTCCATAATCATCCCTCCGGAAACAAAGTATAGTCTGTAAATCATCATATAATGAGCAATAAAACATGAAACGGTCTTCAATCTTACTTAAATCAGACAAACAAACAAACCCTGTTCTCTTCAGGGAGACCATTAAACTGTTCAGTCTGTTTCTATAGCTGATGGTAGTGTACCTGGATGTAACAGTGCACATACAGACCTTTAACCTCTGGTTAAATTCTTCTTCACAAAAGTCTCAACACTCGTTGCTTTTACAGTATGTTTGTACCAAATATCAATTAACCATCTTTCCTTATACATAAGGAACCCTTTGTGCAGAGCATAATGAAGTTATTGAAGAAACAATAGTATTCATGTGTATAGAGTATAAAATAGTGTAATATTAATCATAATCATCATTTTCATGATCACAATTATACTTCCACATAATATGCACATACATACACTGATGGATAATAAATCAAATCTGGGAAATAATTATATTCATTGTCCTGATCATCATTTTCATTTTGTCACTGTCATCATCCCCACTGCCAAGTTATTGACTGAGATGATAAGAAATCGGAAAGAAAGAGGGTGTGTATGGAGGACACAGAGAGAAATAAGTCCCCCACTTACCTTCACTGTGTGTGTCCATGTTCAAGCAGTGCTGCCAGATTTCATGGCGAATTTGGCTAGTTTCTGATTTTTATTAGGTGCCTTTTTCTTCTTGCACTTGTATTTGGCCATGGCACATGATGATGGGGGGGGGCTCTGAGCGGTACATTCTCAGCAAACAGGGGTTGACCCAGAGGGGTGTCATGCGGTGGCAGCTCCCACCCCCAAATAATGCCAACGGCCACCCCAGTCTGTTGTCAAATGCTGTCATATTTACACATTTTAAAATGTGTTGAAAATGGAAATTAATTGAATGATTTTAGACTAAATCATAGGCTAAAGTACAATTTGGAAAAATGTCTGAACATTTGAAAATAACTGATTTCTAATGCCACCTTTAGATATTTCTATTCAGTGCTTTAATGTGCCACGATAATGTAATTTTTCTAAAGTTAAAATATTTTATATCATTTGGGCTTTTACAAGCAAATATTGATATATGTGATTGCTTTCAAATCAGCATGTATTTCTGCCACACCTTTTAGTCTCTATGTCACCTCTATGGATCCGGCCCTGTGGACAAACCCAATAATGGCCATAATTGATTTGTATGTTACATTGTGAATAAGGTGTTTAATGTTGTCTAAATGCAGGTATATTTGTAACCAAGCTACATGTCATTACAACATAACAAGGATTTAGGAAAGTTTTTCCAAACAGCTGGTTCAAGGCTGTGATTTGGCTTTCTCCCAATAAGCTAACAATTAGGAGCCATGTACAGCATCTTAATACATTTTAGTTCAATTCAGTATTACAGCAAGGTTTCCATCCAAATATAGTGCAAATAGACTTTCCAGAAATTTGCAATAGCAAAAGAAAATGTTATTTAATGTTTTCTTCTACATCTACTGTTGTTATGCAAATATTAGGGGTTTGTCACGTTGAGATAAACAGCTGGTGGTGCTAATTCTCCAGCCAGGTGACATTAATTTCATTATGCAACCCGGTGTTGTAAAATAACAATTACATTACCTTGTATCTTTGTACTGTTGGGAAGGTTACAGTCTCCTCATTGCTTCACACAGATCTAATGTTTTTGTCTGATGCTATTTTTCATCTGTCCAGTGGAGCGGAAGCTTCAGTGGACATTTAAGTCACAAGTTTGTTTCCAATGCACTGTGTATTGATACACCAACTTTTCCACCTCAGGAAAGAAAACCACATACACAGGTAGTTTTTCCGTATTTAAAAGGTCTGTCTGTAGATGTGACCATTACTCAATCTATATTGGATCATGGAACCTTTAATGAGTTATATGGTGTATATCTGCGTCTTGAGTCATGCAAGTGCATCTCAAAGGTGAAACAAGGTGAGGAATAATCGCATGGCTCGCATCAAAGGTTGTCCAAACCTTTCACACCTTTCATTACCAGAGTGCAGACATGCAGCAGCTGTTAGAGTACAGTATGTAGGGCAGCGGGGGGAGGTGGAAGCAGCTGTAAATTGGTGAGGGCCTCCATTAATAAGGGAATGAAAAGGACTGATTACTCTGATTTTAGCAAGCAATTACAGGTCCCTGCATCCACAGTTATTGACTCAATCTGTAAGCGTGATTTATCACAGAAATAAATTAGATAAACTTTGTCATACACTTGGGATTCATTTATCTTATCTTAAATCACAGACAATAAATCCCATCTTTGCTGGTTACAGGAAGCACACTGCAGCCTGTGAACTTCAACAACTGTCTGCAGTGGCAATCTGACTGGATTTCTCCATTATTATTATTACTACATTGGTTTCCAGCCATGAAATCCTTCAAAATATTTGAAATGGTTTTACTGGAAAGTCCTTACACAAGGTCCATAAGCATGATAATCAATCATCCCCAGTGTAAGTTAGCAAGATAGATAACAGCATGAGCTCAAAGCTGCATAATGAAACATGATAAATCAAGTCAGACGTGTGATTTTGCTCAAGGGCATGTTCAGAATAACAGGTATGTTCCTTTTCAAAGTAAGTCAGGCGGAGACTGACAGACTGAAGCCCACTTTTAAAACAGGTTACTAATAAAGTTTTTTAATAAGTTCCATAAATAAACGAGGGACGCTATTTTAATCAGATGTGTAAATTTGAAATGTAGTGCTGATAACTGGGCCAGGTCGATGTTAAGCACGTCCTGCTGGAAACAGTGTCTATTGTTCTCTTTCAATGGTGAGCTTAAATTGAGCCTTTTTCATGTCTGACACTTTAAAGGAATAGTGTGACATTTTGGGAAATATCCTTTTTGCCAAGAGTAAGATGAGAAAACGGATACCACTCTACTGACTGTGCAGTAAATGTGAAGCTAGAGCTATAGATGATTTGAGGAAATTTCAATCCATCTTGAAGGCTTCTTGGATTCATTTACACATGATGGCAGATGAGAAGATCAATTGCACTCTCATATGTAAATGGTAAATATAAGGCTTCAGTCAGCCGCTGGCTTACATGTCCAAAGGTACAGTAACCTTACATTTAGCTTACAGACATCCATTTTCTCTCAGCAAGAAAGAAACTAAACATATTTCCCAAAATATCTAACAATTGATTTTTCATATTCACAGGTATGTTTTCATTAGTGTATGATCACCAAAATAAAGGAATGTGTGTTTTTGTTACCTTAGAATCAGCCCCTTTTTTTTCACCAAAGTGGAGTCCACCATGTTTCTAGCCCAGAACAGCCAAACCACTGGCTTTAGATAGGGCCGTTTGAGTCTTTTGCAAGTTTAATGGCCACCATAGTTTCTCCTACATACAGCCCGTTCTCATTCCGAGGTCGTCAAATAGAGGTTGTTTTTTTTTTAGACGTTTTTCCAGATAGTTACAATCTGAAACTTCACCGCTAGATGCCATTACATCCTGCACACTGGTCCTTGAATTGAGACCGAGACCATCAAAGGGCCAGTTTTACAACAGGGAATACAGTACTGAGATGATTTACAGCTTCATATTTAGTGTACGTCATGGGAGGGGTATTGATTTTTTTATCTTACAAGAAAGCGAATGAGCGTATTTCCCAAGATGTCAAACTATTGCTTTCATTCTTTAACTGCTTCGATAAATTAGGGTCATAAAAAGGGAAGACACTGCTAGATTGCAACAAATCATAATGACTGAACGCCTCTCCATACATGCAGATCATATGCGTCTCACCGGGTTGTCTAGCTTTTATCAGCCAATAGCTCTCTGGTGCTGAGTCATTAGTGACTGAGAATTAATCAAAATCCCACACCTCAGCTAATTTCCGTTCCTCCAGAAATACAGCACTCACTAATACCCAGGGTATTTTTGTCCATCCATGTTCTGTTGATTTTTCCAGCTTTTTTTCTGAAAACATCAAAGACTTTCATTGATTATATACTGTACTGGCAGATTTCTTCATGGCTCTGTGTGCCATTATGCACTGTTTATGTAACAGGGATTTTCAAATCACCACTGGAGCATTGCAAAGAAACAAAGCTCAACTGAGCTTCCTACTGAGCAAAAATATCGTAGAATGTCAATTTGTCCAGTATGTTTTCTCCCAAATATATGAAAGATGGTCATAATTAGGTGGATTGCTTACAATGCAAATCAACATTTTTCAAAGGATTTCCTGCAGCTAAATAGCGTGTCACTGCATATGCAGTATTTGAAAAACAGGTGAAACTGAGATTCATTTAATCCAACTGACAAAGCTCTTATTCATTTGTGTGACACTCTGCTTCAAGGTTTCTCAAAAGATGACATTTTCTGCAACAAATGGAGCCGAGCATGATTTTTAATAACTAAATAAACTGATTTGAAGGAGCAGGACGTAGGAGGCAAGACAAAAAACAATGCCAACAGCAAGTATATGCTTCTTATCAACTATTCAAAGACAGCCTTCTGTTGAAAGACACAACCAGACTTGAGAAAACATTCTTGCCACTCTCACAAGGCAAAAAGAAAAGCTGGTCCCCGGTTATTGTATTTCCACTGTAGCGTGATAGATTTCTTAATGGCGAGCTTGTTGTTTGTGGCACTGAAATGTGACAGCGTTCACCGATGTGGATAACTTGGTCGCTTGACAGCTTTATGATGAGCCAATTGCCTTCCGTTCCCCTCTGTCGGTGGGATACGAGGCTCTGCCCGGGATCACTGACTCACGGCTTCCTATGAGCTGCTTCCAGATGACCTTTAGATCCGGGATCTGGATCAGGGAGATCAGCAATATCGTGGGTTATACATATTCCAATCATTTCCATGCCTATTTTGCTTTCCTATTCCCATCACTCAAAGATAAAAACACACAGTTTATGATCCTGCTAACAAGCAGTTTGACAATAAAGGGAGTAGAGATTTTTTATTTTTGAATATTACCTCCATCAGTTCTGTGTTTTTATGCGCTTCTTGGTATCAGGAGAGTTCATGTTTACAGTTTATGAGTGAACTGCACACCTTGGATGATATAAACATCGCTATGATTTGATTACATGGCTGATGTTTAATGAGATAATCACATTGGAGGTAATATATATAGCTAATTATGATTTCACACAGCAGTTGGGAGGCCAACCTTGATAACAAGGCGAATTATATCATTGGCACCAAGAGTGTTAACAGGACAGGGAAGTTGTATTTTATCCATTATATTCTTACCAAAAGGATCAACAGGTACACAATAGAACAATTCTTCCCCATGATTCTCCAATAAAAAAAAACAACTTTTTGACTTAGTAAAAAATTACATATCTGTGCCACTTTGATTTACAGTCCTCATAAAGCCGGTGGCCCCGGGCTTCAGTGGGGGCCACGGTGCTCTCTCTCTCATGTCTCAGCCATAGATAGAAAAGCGTGCAGACCAGGGTTAATTAATCAGGAA